CATTATACTGATGAGTGAACAGAGTTGCCTTCTATTCCAGAAGGAAACTATCTCTACCTTCCAAGGTTGTTCGCTGTACAGACATCCTTGAGAAGGTATGTCCAGAACAAAATGGAAGTTAATACCTTGCTCTTAAGAGTCTCAGTTTTCCAACCCTGCCCAATATTAGCTAAGTCTTATCAGACCAAGTCTTAAGGGCCATAGGGCAAGAGCAAATATGCCAGATCCCCAAAGCATCCAACACTGCTGCACCAGTGCCCCTTCCTCACCTAACATATTTGATCTTACTAGTGATTCTGTATGATCCTCCAGTATGGAGGAGAAAAAAGCCCAAGCTTGATTTACATATGGGACGACCCAGAATGTGGGTAAAGCCAAAATGGGTAGCAGGACTCTGACACTTCTATGTTCAGGTCAGCTTAGGTCAGTGGTTCTCAGTGCGTTGCTGTCCCCCTCTCCCTCCCAGGCTGTCTGATTCTGCAGGTCTGGGGTGGGATGGAGAATCTGCATTTCTAGCATGTTCCCCCGTGCTTTTGCCGCTCCTGGTCCAGAGACCCCACTGTGAGAACCACTGGTTGAGAGGTTTTAATCAGTCTTAAATCCCTGGGAAAAGCGGGGCTCAAAGCAGAACGATGATAACTTCCGAAGTTTTCTGGAAGCCGGGGTTCCTCTTTCCCCAGCAGCTCCGTCCTGAAGTCACAGCCCTGAGAGTCCGGCCTCCCGGGACGGCTGGGTCTTAACAGCCGCTCCTCGGCGCTCCATTGCTCTTCCCGCCAGCGCGGGCGGGCTTGGCCACGCCCCCAGCAGCCCATTCGCTCGCAGGTCCGCGGGCGCCCCCGCCTACTCGCGCATTCCTCGGCTCGGGCCAGGCTGAGGCGCTGCTGTCCGAGCGGGGGGAGCCGAGACGTGGCTCCCGGGCGGAGGAGCCATGCTGGACTTCGCGATCTTCGCCGTTACCTTCCTGCTGGCGTTGGTGGGAGCGGTGCTCTACCTCTACCCGGTAACCGCCGTCTAGGCCAGGGGCTCTGGCCGCCGCCAGAACCTCGGTCCCACCCGCACCCACGTCGCTCTGCCCGCCGCGGGCCGCAGGGGGCGGGCCCGAGGGAAAGGCTCCCGCTGGGGCTCCAGCTCCATCCAGCTCCCGCCCCGCTCCGCGCAGCTCCCGGAGCACGTGACGCGGCCGGCGCTGAGGTTGGAGCGGCCGCACGACCACCCTCGGACTCAGGGCGGGGCAGGCGG